AGTGCGCTTGTTCATCAACTTCTCCAACAAAGGCCAAGTAAATTAAGCTTTCTTGTGTTTGACAAATCACGAAGCGCCAGAGAGAAACGTCTAATGCACTTTTGAGTAGCTTGAGAAACAGAGAGTCCGCGCGATGGATCTTTTCCGCGAGCGAGCTCGGGACTAAAGCTCGAACTTGAGGAGATTCGCGTGTGCGTGCGCGCGTGTGTGTGTTTCTGAAAGTCTTCGTCTAGACTGAGCGAAGACTTGCCAGAAAAAAGAAAGAAAAGAGAGCGAACAGTTGAAAGCGTGGGTCGTGCCATAGACAATCAAGCCATAGAATATTAATACTCGCAGTGCTAGGGGAGGTAAAGGGAACGGGGGTTGGGGGGGGGGGGACAAGACGACGTCGCAATAAGCCAGAGAAGCTTGCTCGTTCGCGCGACGCTAAACTCTCGCTAATATCGCGGCGGCGGCTGCCACAGCAGCAGCAGCATAGGGTAGCGCGGGAGCGCGTGCGTGTTTAATGTCTTATTTGTGCAGGCAAACGAAAACGCGCGAGCTCTGCGCTGATCGCGTTAGGCTGGTTGGTAGCAACCGCCGCGGTACTCTTGCGCGTGCTATGCTTTGGCGCGGCGCGGCCGCTTCTCGACAACTAATTTCATTTAAACTTCGTAACTGCCCTCGTTGTCGCAGTTTATGGGCCGCGACGCTCTTCCGCTTCTTTTCCACGGCGTCGCGGCGAACGATTACGGATTTGAATTCCAGCTATGAATAATCAACATAGGGCGAGCGATAGCGCGAAATGCAGATACGAACCGTCAAACTATTCCGCTAACTATGCGCAATTTCACGAGGACCCGCTGTCACTACTCCGGTCGACCGATAAGCCGGCGGCTCCGCAAAATAGTTAGCGTGCTGTCTGGCTGCGCTGACTTTCGCGGACCGCTCGCGCGCGCAGCATTTCCACCTTTTTACGACTATGCCTGCTATGGCCCTGGGTATGTGCGATGCGTTCCCGTACGATTATTTGACTATACGCACCAGTGTATGCCAAGTATGGAGAACTTGATTGATGATACTCTCACGCGCGCGAGTATTCGTCGCTCTCTCCAGCTCCACGACAGATGCCTTTATTATTTGGCTTCGCTATCGATAAATTCTGCCTCGTGAAAAGGGGAAATCTATTGTTGCTCGTTTCCTCAACGAAGCTTTCACGACATTATCCATTACTCGTGCAAGATAATTTATCACGGTAACTACGTATTGAGAAGAGTCTAATTTGATCCTCTGCCATATCCAAATCATATATTATTGAAAGTAATATCCCTTAGTAGCAGGAAGCAGTCGTGCAAAATGTCAGAGCTAAACCAACAATCATTAATGCACTTTCATTGCACATTATAACATTGACTGAAGCGTGTCTCTTTCGATAAGCGGAAAACGTCATATTTGCCAGATCGCGCGAGGATCCTTTTTTACCACCGATAGTCGCAATTTCAGAATTGCGATTATACAGCAATCAATCAAGAAGATTGACGTTCAATTCAATCACATTCACCAAACGAAGAAAAACTAACATTCAGGTCGACCGATAATAATTATTCAGCAGTAGAGCGAGAAACTCCCTCTAATTAATTGTATGGTATATAAGCACAGACGGGCGTGAAAGCACAAAAAAAAGTCGGTGACCGCGCGCCTTACAATATTTATCAGCGGCACTATAATTTTTTTCGCCTGCGGTTCCACCTCAATCTGCCGCTGCGTTAGCATATTGTGGCTCTCGGTGCGCTACTATGTGCACTCTCTACGCGCCATACGTATAGCTCACTTGCAATATTCAGCCTAGTGATATCCGTGGCTCATCGGAAATGCAGAAAGCGAGTCGCACACGCGTCGAATCCAAACAGCAGCCGACGAAGAAACAAAATAAAAAAAGTAAAATAGAAAAAAAAACAGCAGAAAAATTACAATCGCCCGCGTACACGAAACCGTCGCCGGGGATTAATGTTACTCGTTCTCATTTTTGTTTTTAATATGATTGACGGTGAAATGGTAACGGTCGCGATAACAATGCAATGGTGGGAGAATTCTCCAGAACGTACACATATATAGCCGTTCAAATGAAAACGTTCCGTCATCCTGTTACGCGGCTCGTTTCCCGTTGCACCTAAATTAAGATCCACGCATAACGCATCATTTCTCCGCACACACCTGTGACCCCACTAATAAACCCTCCGGCGTATAATACGAGAACGATCGTTCGGGACAACGTCAAAGTGCTACGATTGCCAAAGTGACACCTGTCCGCCTGCGAAAATCAGATTGCGGCTGCAATAAAAGACGAAACGAAAAGGCCGAAAGACAACATCCTTTGAAAGCAAAAAATAAAACGGGCGGGAAAGAAAGAAGGTGAGTTTCGTGGGGCCGCGGTGCGTCCTCTTAAGGTCACGAACCAGGCCGGAAGCCGGGAGCAGCGAGCCGTGACGGGGCAACGTCTTTCCCATGCGCGTAGCGGCAGTGGCGTCGAGGCTCGAGCGCCTTCTTTCTACTCCCTTTCTCCTCGCGAGCGCGCGGATCGGGCTCCCTCAGTCTCACGCGCCTCTGTCCAATTATTATCGTGAAAAGTCGAGCGATGCCGCAGGCACTGCTAAACAATCAGATGAGCTGGTAATCCAATTGACGGCGCTCCGTGCACGTCTACCTCCCAAGGGACGGCCAACTACGTAGCAGGTGACGCGCAGGTGGATTGACTTGCCGTGCAATGTGAGTTACCTATGCAGCAGCTAATGCTGCCCCGTCGTCTCGTGTGCGAACCGAGTCTATAAAGAATATCCGGTGCTCGAGAGATTTCTCCTTGGGCCGCGCCCGGATGAAATATAGAGGCAAAGTGAATCTATTGTCGTCATAATGCAAAAGCTGTTTTCGATACTAGCGCGGCGCGCGCATTTGCCCAAGTAAGTGGCAATAATGTTCAATTCGCAGTGTTAAACACGAGTTTGCCCATTACTCATGCGCATTTAACGCTCGCTTAACGCGCGCGCTTACTGTATTTAATGTTATCCGTTGTTCAATTTTAATTGATAACGCGCCGTATGTTTTGCAATTTTCCTAGGGCTAAAAGCAGTTGTTACTAAGCTCAGCTTCAATTAGCCGTAATGGCATTCCAATTTTAACTCGTTGCGCTTGATTTTCGTTCCGCGGTATTGCGTCGTAAATAATTTAACAGGCAATCCCACTTCAAATGAAAATTTAGGAATTTTGATCCAAATGAGAACACGACCATTTACCTTGTTTACCGCGTTCCACTGTCTCTGACCATTTATTCGCTTGGACTAGCTAACTACGGCCGTTCGCTCGTGAGCCCGAAGTGCATTTCGATAATTTCCTCATATCTCATTCACGCCGCTCGGATAACTTAAACTAGCAACCAATATGAAAACAGCCAGTTCAACGTAGCGCTACTTAATTAAGTTGCTTTCCACTGGACCTTATAGAAGTGGAAGCGCGCTGAAAGAACAGATAAAAGCACGTAGGACGACTTTCTACAGTTGAGCTCGAAATTCTCGTGAAAACGAATGGCTCTTCAATTTAACCAGCAGAAATAGCGGTTTCAAGTCGACAATGGACCAAGGGACAAATACTGGGGGGAGGGAAGGTCGTTGGGCGTTCGCGCGAGTGATCATAATAGCTTGTCATTATTTAGCCACCTGGGTTTCGCAGCACGAGCTCGATATAGCGAAAGCCCTTCGTTGTGTAAGCAACGATGCAAACATTCAATTGCCGCAGCGTTGAAAATTAGATTTTTTCTATTTTCTGCAAAGCCTTGTACGATTTATAATACTTTTTTCTTTTCACGTGGCTCTTATACGATAAAGCGCGATATCCCTTTTTCATCGAACCCTTCCAGTATAAATATCGAATATTAAGGTTGTTGATGCGCGAGTCAAGTGAAAGTCTCGAACTTTAAAAAAGCTTTCAAGGTGAGATTTCCAGAAACAAGATAGCTTGTTTCTTTCAGATTGTTCTTTCAGAGTGTGGCTTTGGCTTCGGCTATGCCGAAATCATATTTCTTGGAATAAGGAAAAAGTCTCGACATGGACATTCAATCAACTCTCGAGCTTTAAGAATTCATGTGAGCGCTGAAAAGTTTGTCTTGGCGAGATTGCCCTGTGCCTTCCTTTCTTTCTATCCTTTCTTTCTTCCCCGTTTCTACGTACATACCTGCTTGCGGAACAAAACTCCTCTATTGCGCTTGCGATACATTTGTCTCTCTCACTCTTTCTCTCTCTCTCTCTCTTTCTCTCTCTGCATGCGAAAGCCATAAAACTCAACTTCGCCGCGAGAGAGATATAGATAGACGTGTGTGTACGTGAACGCGCGCGTGCGATTGCCACGAGTGAGAGAGGCACGTACAGCGTAGAGGGTAAGTGGTGCGATTACAGAGAAACGCACCTATCGCTGACAAAACCAATTGTTCTATTTCTCCTTTTTCACTTTCATTTAGATTGCTGATGACGAGCGAGCTTTTCAATTTTCAATTAGGAATTGTTCGATTCGCATTTTTATCCTCTTGTATTTTGCAGAGTTTAATTAGCGTTATTTATCGTATCATACAATCAATCAAGATATTGTACCCTTTGTAACGATGCATTTTTTCAATTTTCACAAAAAATGAAAGAGAGAAAGAGAGATGAAATGTTTTTACAGCAATCCATCACGTTCAAAAGTTTAAAATTCATTAAAAAAAATTCTAAATTGAAATGCAGGAACTTCAACTTTGGCCAGGTTATGAAGCTCCAAACCAGCACATCCACAAGGGTGAAAATGCTGGGCAGATCATGAATAAACATAGAAGTGTCACTCAACCAACATACATCATCCTCCCCACAGACAACCTATCCGCATTTTGCGCCAAACCAAAGGTATTGGCGCCTATCACTGCAGCTCATAAATCAGCCTCGAACAAGAAAAAAGGAAGAAGCAAAAAAAAAAAAGAGAGAGGAAGCGAGATGACTCACCTTTGACACCTGGCTGGACGAGTACAACGCAGAAGAGCAAGAGGAGCAAGGCCATTGGCCCTTTGATGCTCGGCATCGTTATATCTGTCATTCTGTTTTACAGGAACCAAGAGCAGCGGCGCAGATGCAGCAGCAGCAACAACAATAACAAAAACCAAAAGAAACTAAAGCCACACACTCGCGAGAAACATACGCGGTTCGCGTATGCAGGAGGCTGCCCAAAGAACGTGGTTTGTGTCACGGCATGTTGTCGGCGCACCTCCTCACTTTTACTGCGGGTGCCGTGCGCGCGGCGTCGCGAACTCGGCGAGACTGACTTTGCTTTTGCTTGCGCGCCTCGAATCGGGTGGGAGCTCTCTCCCTCTCTCTCTCTCTCTCTCTTTCTCTCTCGCTCTGCAGTTCGCTCTGCCGGCAGACGAGTCAACACGCGTGCGCGTTCCGCACCTGTCGTTCGCGCTCGGCTTCAACTGTATAGGGATTCGCTACATATCGAACGACTATACTTGGACCCTCTGTCTCTCTCTTCCTCTCTTCTGCCTTTTGACTTCGTTTGTTCTCCGACACCTGCTTACTGTGATTAGTTTACTTGGTAATGATCGTCGACACGCTACTGAGGCATCTAATACTATCTTGGATGAGAATAACGATGTACTTTCGGTGTTTTTGCGCTTGTTATCGTGATCTTGTGGTTATTGGTATTTGAAGTGATAATACCGGCGGTAAACTGTATCTTGGTTGCCTTAATATACTACGTAAATGTAGGTGGTAAAGGAAAGTAATATATTCTACTATCTACAATATTGCGTTCCTTTATTGATTATTCATTTTAAATACCTGAAATTATGGTTGAATAATGAAATTATGGTATCGCTTAAAAGATATCGATTTCTATATACACCGAGAACTTCTAAAATTTGATATTTTTCTTTCTATTAAATTAAGCTATTGCGTTATAGATAAAGTAAAATAATTTAGCAGCAACGATGAACCAATTGAAGTTTACCGCAAAAGGATGCACTTTTGCTCTAAAAAGTGCACAATCTAATTAACTATTGGTATAACGTGGTATTTTATATAACGTCAAACTTACGATATTTATAGATTGAATCGCACATTTGTAGGAGAAGTGCACTCCACAGGCTCTTTCGTAGAAACTAAGCAAGCAGAGAGAAAGACCACGAGGAAGGAGAAACAGACAACTGGATGTTAAATTTAGCATTGCTGCGCCGTTTTACAACTCCGTCATTTAAGCATTTATACACCGAAAGTTTTCTTAAGCATTCCGATAGATGTGATTGCCATTACATGTAATTATCATCAAAAGAAACCGTGGTCTATGGAGTGATTAAAAATGCAGTAATCGAGACATTTCAACATTTCCGTTATGCACAACTAATAGCAATATCGATCCTAGCTTACCGATGTGAGAACAGCGTCGCTATTGTACGTTAGCAGTAGTTGAAAGCGAGTGGGAAAAGTATCTATAAAAAATTCATGGTTCAAGCAAGACCGAGATGTACGGGAGTTTGATACGAGAGGGAAAATGAAGAAGAGAGACACTGATCTAGTGTGAAGTCGACTCGGGGCTGTTTTTCTTTTCTTTTTCTTTTTTTAGCTCCCTACCCCTTTCGCACATAGAAAGACTTGATTGCCGGGAAATCGTAACATATAGTCGAGCGGAAACTTATCGAGGAATTAACTATTTCCATTCGCACTACACGCGTGCGAGAGCTTTACTCTTTCGCCGATTGTTCTCGACGTTTATTATGTATGGGAAATAGGTATACATATATATTCCACGTTGTGTTGGCTATAGGTGTTTTTAATAATTCAATGGTTTCTCCGGATGGAGAAATTCACATTGACGAAGGTGTATCATTTCACATGGCGGGTAGTTCTCGCGATATCTTATTTCACGCAAGGGTGACGAGAGAGTAAAATTATTAACGCAAAGAATTTTCTATCAACCTCGTCGGAATCGCAGCTCTAGGGTAACGTAGGTGATAGAAAGAGGTAAGAATCGATAACGCACCCTCCGTGTTATTCATTTTGTAATAAGAAATTGTGCAGGCGGTAATCGGACTTCATAAATACGTAGAATCATTTTAATATGTCGCTAAAATTAGTTCGCGCCGCCATTTATATACCAGTAAAATATAATTACTAGACAGCTGACGTTATAAGTGCGTTATCTAGGAAACTTTATATAATTGCTAAATCCCATTAATGATCGTCTTCTACGAGTTAGTTTCAGCAAAGGTCTAATGCGACGTGTAACTTATTATTATTTCAATCATAGCAAACGTTTATCCTTTGTGTTGCACTGCTGCACAATGGCTTTTGGCGCACAGCTGTTAAGAGAAACGATACATCAAGAGAAAGAAAGTGACTCGTGAAACAGAGGAAACAAACAATTGAGTGTATTCGCGGTACTGGGCAACAAGCAAAAATCACGCCAGGAGTAAACTCCTCACTTTAGGTACTACAAAATAAAGCAGTCGGGAAGGAGGATCGAGCTCAATTAGGCGTGCACCGAGAAGAAGGAGGAAAAGAAGCAGATGCTTCCCAAGCCGTCTCGCGCTTGGGCGCTCGCGCGTGAACATGTCGCTGGTAGGTGCGTCGTCGTCTGAGTATTTGGCGGGAAGGGCGTCGTTATTAAATTTAATCGTGAACCAAAGGCGATTCCCGAACATTTCCGTCATAATCGCCTTGGTAATAATGAGGAGAGTTACTGTGAACAGTCCTATGGTTATCGGAAAACTAAAATGAGAGAGAGAGAGAGAGAGAAGAAAAAATAACGAACGAAAGTGAGATAGGTAAAAGATTTTAACTTGAGATTGGCATTAAATTTAAAACTGAGTAGCATTAAAAAACTTTGACTATGACCTAGAAAACTTTTGCGGGGGCTACTCTTCATTGTTGCTTTTACTCAAAACTGCGGCTATTTTCAGTTCGTAAAACTTTGCACCAAGGCAATTTTGTCTCCACTTATTCTTCTTCTTTTTTTCAAAGTTAAATGGCTAGTTCTCTGAGAATTTGAATGATTAATTTTGCCGAGTGCTTATAAGAACGGAATTAAAGTTTTATCAATGCTATTTCGCTTGTTCGATTCTACCTCTATAATTTATTCAATAACTTGTATTTTTGTATTTTAAACATATTCTATCGTCCAAACATTTTACATGTTATCATCAACTATAAACCTGTGTTGAACAAAGTTTAATAATTCATTGATAAAAATTGTATTAGTGTAGAAATCTACTGATGAATTTGAAAAAGGCACGCTCTGATTCTTATCGATTTTGATAGTTATTTATAGAAAAAAAACTGAGTTTAAGAGACTTGCGTGTAGACTTATAAACGTAGTTCTCGTTATACAGCGGTTTTACACTTGGTGACCAAGTTTGCCAAGTTATACAGCTAATCGCGAGTCGACGAGTAACACGTAGACGAGACACTAAGCTTGCTTGCTCCCCACTCTTCCACTCTTCGCCAGTTTACGCGGCGTAACATCCGTTAAGTTGGCCCGACGGATTTATGGGGTACTTTCATGAACGCACCCTATGCGTGCGCAAAAAAAATTATGCGTGATATGTGTCTAAACCTGCAGCGATCGCGACAAAGAATAACGAGAACGATTGGTTGAGATGATGACAGTAACATTTGTGTATGTACTGATCTGAACACAGTATTTTTTCGAGAAGTTCAACAGATTTTTATAATATGCATTGTCAATAAGTTAATTTCGTCAAATTGTCCTTTTCAATGATTCAAGAACTGCCTGTGCTCTATCGATCACTCAAACGAGTATTGTAGCTTCTTTTAACGCTTATTTTAAATAAATCTGAAATATTCAAAAGCAGTGTATATCAGTCGTAAAAATAATTTTAATACTGAAAGTTTTAGATAATGTAATAAAAAACGAAGCATATGGAGTGGAATACTCATCTGATTTGGTGTTGATAGGACATAAATGCTTGAGGGATTACTATTTAAAAGTTTATGAAAAAGTTTCGTTGGTATATATTGTGATAATTATTTATTGTATTAAAATCTATTCCAAAAACGTACGAATCATAGGTCACGATAAGATTGCATGGAGTTTATGAGGAAGTCCAAATCAGGAGGCCGAGCTTTGAAGATCACCTCTGCTAGCATTAACCCAATTCCTCAGTATGTTTGCCTAAAAGTGTGGGTGTGTGTACATGTGTGTCTCCGTTGAACCTGTCATCCACCCCTTTCCATCTTCATTTTACACATTATACACACACGCTATATCTGGCTCCTCTCTCTCTCCCTCTCTTTCTCTCTCCCTCTCTCTCTCTCTCTCTCTCTCTCCCACACATCCACACATGCGCGCGCGGGCACATCATATCTAGAGAGCTACAAGAAGCTTACGCTGTGCTGGGCGCGTTCTCGGCTATAACTCTTGCATATTCCCAGGCCCCTGGTAATCTACTCCCGGATCGTCGTCGTCGTCGTCGTCGTCGTTCAGCATTAAAGCCCTAAGCATGGCTCAAGTATCTTTCATCTTCGCACTCTCATTCGTATGCGCGTACGTATATATATATATGTTAGATTACGCACGTTCTCTTTCTATCTTTACCCAGCTCTCGTTACAAAAAGAATATGCATTTCAGCCAAAAGTTCTAGTCTGTATATATTCGATATATCGCACATTTCCTTATCTCTATTTCGATCCTCACTCGCAATACTCCATTCCCAAAAGGTGAGCTTTCTACGCGCGCCAGCGCGCGGTAGAGCAGTGAGATTTCAGCAATACGCCGGATATTAAACTTTTGCTAGCGCGACTCGGAGAGCATCTTTCCTCCTCTCTCTCTCTCTCTCTCTCTCTCTCTCTCTCTCTCTCTCTCTCTCTCTCTCTCTCTCTCTCTCTCTCTCTCTCTCTCTCTCTCTCTCTGTCTCTCTGTCTCTCTCTCTGTCTCTCTCTATCTCTATCTCTCTCTCCTCCATTCGCAGCTGGCATGGAAGCGATGACGCTGCAAGCTCTCTATTGACAGAGCCTTAAAGTAAATCGACTGTGTCGATTAGGACCTGCAGTAGCGAACCAACAGGATTTAATTATTTGCGATTCTATATTGAAACCTGCTATCTTTCGTTATAAAAACTTTACGATTTATGATACGAAGCAGAACGAACTCTAGTAAATAATATTGATTTTTCATGAACAACCGTCGTAGAAAGTTGAGAAAATTACTTATTCAGAAAGTTTAACGCAAATTATAAAACTTTATTCCGTATTAAAAATGTACATCCATTGGCTTGAGTTATT